TGTAGGTAAACACTGGACGTCTGTGCAGAGGTTGGCTCCTACAGTGGGCCAGTCTCTACTGGACACTCAGAGACGGGAGAAGGACGAGGCAGACACTTTGACCGCCATGGCCTCTCTCACTGTGGACAACGATCAGCAAAAGACCTCCACAGAAACCAGCAGGTACAGCCACTCGAGTCAAGTAGAACCTGTTGTCATATACACCTCCGCTGTTACATAGAATGTTTAATACATAATTTTACCCTTCATTAACCATTAACCAATCACTCCTTCCTCAGATCAGCAGAGGAGCCCATGGAGGAGGAGCCCGTGTTGTAGAAGAGCGAGCACAGTGCATCATTGCTCCAACCTTCTTGTCCACGCGTGCTTGGCACTGGTCACGCCTCATGTTCCTCCTCCCAGCTCTTTGATTGGTTCCCTCGGTCCTTCACTCATTTCCAGGTGCTTGACTGACACGTTCACAGCCCACCCACTTTCGCTTTTCTGAGGTTAAAGCATAGCAAACTGTTGCCGAAAGGGGATGACAAGGCATGATGGGTACTTACAGGACCACTCCAGTGAGGGTTGCGCAGCTGGAAAGGCCGAACAATGGAGTGCTCTTCAGAGAGAGGCCTTTGATTTCATTTTCTCATTGTATTGAACTGAGGATGTAAAGAAGAAAATGCAAAAAAAAAAAAAAGAAGAAGGGGAAAACATCACGACAGCCCAGGGATGTTGTCGCTCGGGGGGGCGGCGAAAAGCTTTGTTTTCTGTACAAAGTATAATGTACAAAGTTCCAAAAAAAAAAGCCAACAAGCAGCAAAAATACTTCAGCACAAAACACACATATACACTCATTCACAAGCAACACGGTTCCCAAAAGAGGAGCCTGATGTGTCGAAACACCTTTTGCAGACAAGTATACTCGTTTACACTGTACTGTGTCGATTATTTGGTATACTTGTTCATCTGTATAATAGCCTGTTATGAAAAGCACACAAACCTACGAGAAATATAAGTATAAAATATATATATAAATATACATACAAACATATATATAAGCATATATATGTAGTTTTGTGTGTACCGTATACACATTTGAACATACAAAAAAATATATAAATACTTTATATCCCCTATGGAACATTTTCTTATCAGTTGTGGTTGTACATACAGTAAAAGAGCCTGCAGACTTTTATCCAGAAGTGAAAGAATGATGGTTAGCCTTTTCTCCCAGAAGCATTTCTTGTCTCTTAGAGAAAACAGTACTTTTTTGGAATATACGGCTTTGCTATAACATACTCGCACATAAACGTGAATAACGGCAGCCCATCCGTTTTAAGACAAAGGTGTAAAATACGAAGAGAGGATTTTCAAAGCGTCCATCTCAACTTTCGGTGGAGAACGAGGATAGACGCATTGTGGTAATGTCTCAAGAAAGATTTTTTTTCCAAGAACTTGGTGCCTTTTATACTAAGGAAAACATTTAACAACACCAATACTTAACGAATCGTGACTCCTTGGACTTCACTTTCATTGATTTGTTTGTTTTTCAAATTGCCTTAAATTTTTCAAAGAAAATTAACTTTAGCCATGAACGACGGAGAGCACAAAATGATTACTATCCTCCTCCTGCCCCACTTTCTTTCCATTTCTCTCTTTAGTTTTATTTTTTGGGGGGGATGTAAGTGTTGTGTTCTTGGTAAAAGGTTTTGATACTTTTTTTTTATTTTACGTTAACAAAAGAACAAACAGAAGAAATTCAGCGATTGTTTCATTTATCAGTCCTGTGCCGCAGACTAGCACATGACGTGATTGTTTGGAAACACTGCTGATGTTGTGACCAACTTGTTTGTTTTCTTCATTTTAACGTCACTTTCCTTTGTCCATTTATTTGATTGGCTCCCTTACTCTCTTTTATTTGAAACTTGTTTTATTTGACTTTATTTCCATTGGCGAGAGAGTGTTAGCGGTGACTTTTTTATTAAAACATTTCCTTTTTTGTACAAAAATGTAAAAGAAAACAAAAAAAGTCTGTATCAGTGTTAATTTCGTCATTTGATTTGAAGTATTCTCTGATAAGGAATGTACAGCGTGCTACAGATATTATCAGTGATGTTGATTTATGTCACTGTGCAGTGCATTTGGCATTGTCCTTTTTCAGGATTTAAGGATATTTTTTTCTGGCAATAAGAGTGACTACCACTTTTTTTGTTTAACACTAAAATACTCCGCAAACTTTTGATTACATTTCCGACATCTTTTAATCACTTGTGCACTTGTGGATGAAATGCAATGGCTTGTTTATGACCCTGAAATAACAATCCTTCATTACATTTTCACTGTGTGACAACAGCTTTTTGGGGGCCAAATTCGATGTAATCCACTGCGTCTTTATTTAACGTCACCCTCTTCCTTTAGCAATGTCACAGAAGTCTGAGAGGTGACTACGTGTCTAATGGCAAACACTTTTTTTAATGAGACTGAACCGGGCCTCGGGCATCTTGCACTAATAACTACACTGTAGGTCCGAACCTAATTGCGTTTCTTTTTTTTACTTTCGGTTCTCAGACGCAAATTGAGGCATTAAAAGCAGAGTGAATTATCTCCGCAAATGACGTGTGAACTCTCGCCAGCGTTTTTCTTTGTGTGCATTCACTGATTCACCGATGAACTGTTGACGTTGAAGCGTCAGAAACTTCGCTGCGCATTTCTCGACTCTGCTCTCTTTTGATTTATTTATTTGGAGTCAGAAATTATTAGTTGCGTTGCTTATGGATCGATGTTTGTCTCATTGTAAATCGATGAAAAATTCGACAGCCTCTGGGCAATAACTTAACTTTTTTTAAAAGATATATTACAATAGCTAAAAAGTGAACAGCCAGTTTTTTTCGCGACAACAACAGTCCTCTGTTTGTTACGTCACCATCTGATAAAGTATTTCTACATGCTGTTGAAACACTACCGTCACCTTCAGCTGTTTGTTCTGTCTCTAACCGTTGACTTGCTTTCGCGCGAACTGCGGTTAAAGAGAAACAGTAAACCCTTTGTGAAAAATCAGGCTGACACTATCCTCTGTACGTAGATACTGTAATATACACTAAGAGAATTTCCCTCTTCTATGTGGCTATGGGATGTGCTGTCTGAATCAGGAACTGCTGTGACCAGGTTTCGTAACGTTTGGATGTAGATCACCAACCATTTGTGCAGAGTTTTGTATTTTCACCCTATATGGTGTCAAACAGTTTATTGACCGTGCAGTTGGTGGTGAACGCTTTTTCTCCTTTTCCTTTCCGTTCCTTTTATACTTTTCTGGATGAATCGGCTGACCCTGAGAAGTCCCTTTTTGAGACCTTATCCTTCTCTTTGGGTGCGTGGGGTTGAGCAATACATAGAGAGGGGAAATAATCGCTCAGATGTAATACAGTATGACGCTTGGCGCTGTTCGTTTTCGATGGACGTTTTCCAACACGGTCTCTTTCGCAACAATCTTTACACAAAGAAAACAACGTCAACGGCGTGAACAGGGCCTTACGATGGACACCGGGAAACCTCTGTATGTGTAAAAGACATCGACATTCGCCGTGGAAGATAGCTTTACTGTCTCTGCCACATATTTTGCTATTGGGTAAATATGTATATTTATTGCTAATTCATATGTTGTGTATATGTAGTGACCTATGATCGTCGAGGTTCAAAGAGTGCTTGTATATTTTTTTGACTTGTTTGAAAGAGAGGTTGTGTCTCCTTCACTGTCTCTTCATTTCTTTGCTGTTCTACATCACTTGTTGTGATTGGGTGTTTCAATTTTTAAGCTCTTTTTTCTCTCTCTCGCTCTCTACTCTCCTCTCTTTCTTGTCTATCTTCTGGTCATATTGATATGCAGAAGTTATCTGAAATTATCAAAGCACATTCCCTGATTTATTGTGTTCTTTCAATGCTTTCATGTTGCGACAATACAAAGGTGTGTATACTAACTGCTACACACGTGTATATAGAGTGCATATATGTGTACACATGTGCAATACACGCTATTTGAGCAATCTATTACTGTGACTATTAATCATTAAAAATTGCTGTCCCTTTGAATCCTGCTGTTTCTTTGTTTCTTTGTTTTTTCTTCCAACTTCTTTAAATAACTGCTCAACATATACAGGGAGACATTTGAGCCAGTTGCGATACAGATACAAGACATTTTTCTTACTGTTTTATCTTCCTGCAGTGTTGTCTAGCTGTGTATGCTCTGCATTTCATCTTAAATGGATTAGAAAATCAATGCACGGATGTTTGTTTGGTTTTTTTTAAAGCAAAAATCCTCATGTAGTTAGGCACATTTTTTCATTCAGCTTCATTTATGTATTTAATATTTTAGTGATTCTTTCAAATAATTAAATCACTAATAATTTGTAATAATATATTACTACATTTGCATTTTGATTATATTTATAATTTATATAAAATGTATAATTTAATAATAATTACAAATATAATCTTATTCTTATTTGTATTTGAAAAATATTTGTAATGTATATGGAAATCTTTTTTTTTTTACTGTAGACAAAATAATCACATTCAAAAATTTGCATACTAAAAGACAAGAGTGAGGGGCAAGTTTAGCCCAGAAATCATGTGACGATTTATTTGTTTTATTGTATTTATGTATTTTTCATGGGAAAGTCCAGTGAAGAAAAATTGTGGAAAAAATATTTTTCTTATTAATTTTAAAAAATATATAATTAATAATAAATTAAATAGGCTATTTGAAAAAATTACAAACTACAGTATTTGACAGTATTACGGTTTGTTCTTTCAAAAAATACTGATCAGAGAACTTTGTAATTCTACTGACAACATTTTTAATATTTTTTTCGGGTTTATACATAGATCTAAAAATACTTTTATGGTGGGCAGAAAAAAAAAAGAGTTCGATATAATAGGTTTTTTTACACTATTTTTATTTTTCACTGTATAAAAGGGTTTTTATACTTGAAAATATATAGCTGCCTTTAAGGGGGTCCTTTGCCAGTGGGACCATCATATGTGGGAGTCTGGGGCAACAAGAAGTTTAAAAGCCATGATTGAGGTCACAGAAGGTAAAAACAGGCTCCTCTGTGTTTTCAACCAACCTTGTGCATAAATCAGGGAGATGAGTAAGTGAGAAGTGGGCAAATGAGGGCGTGTAGCGCGTTGTAGTAAGATATTCATGATGTAGGCTACTACTCCATAGTAAAGTGGGCGTGGCTTCGTTTGCAGCGGCGGGTTTTGCGTCACTTCATTCATTCCCGCGGAACGCCTCCTCGCGCTCCCTCCCGTGCTGACGCGGCTGCGCGTGTTTACGTGAGGCGACTGCTCCCGTTTCCTGGCGGAGAAGATGGCGGCTCCTGGACCAGGGGAGTATTTCAGCGTCGGGAGCCATGTCTCATGCATCACCTGCCTGGGGCAGCGCCTGCAAGGAGAGGTCGTCGCTTTTGACTACCCGTCCAAGATGCTGACTTTGAGTATCCTTTTGTCGTCTCAGCTTGTCATTGAATCATCGGGATCCACAACTGCAAGAGGCCTGGTCTGGGGGTAAATGCCAAAGACATTTTCACCACGGTGAAGACGGTCCACTCGACGTTCGCTTCCGTGTTTAGCGCATGCTGAGTCAGGTGGCGCACACTTGTACCTTCGATTGGTTACCACATTTTAATCTCGTGCTCTTTAGTTCATACATCCCCTCGATAACACACACATTTGGACTCGCACAGCATGAGTTAGTAAGGTAACGTTAGTGTTTTATAATAGTAAGTAATTACTTCTGGTGTTCTCACATAGAACATCTGGGATTTTTAAACGTGCGCTGTAATATGGAAATTTCAGTATTGAGAATATAATTATATGTCTGGTTATTGGTGGATTCTGCTCATCTGTGTAGATGTCAAATTGCCATTCTTTATAGTTGTGGAGATTTTGATTCATCCCAGTGAGTCGAATCTTTTGAATCAGTTCGCTGGCCATTTTTTTGTGTGTAATTCAACTTTATTATTTTTTGCGTGCGTTTTTAAATAAATGTCTCAATTTTGTAAAGCGATGGATATCACATTATGAAGAAAGCATGACAAAATAGCCTAAAATTATCATTTTAACTTCCTTATGTCATTTTAATAGCATATAGTCATCTGTCGTGTTTAGTAGAATCATAATTTTTCTGTCCCCTTAAATCTCAAATAGCATATGTGGTATAAATAAATTAAAAATGTTCGTAATTGTATTTATTTTGTTTAGCAACCCTGAGATTTCAGAGAAAGAAAAACGAGTCGGTGAATAAGAATGATTCGTTCGTTTAAAAGATTTGTTCAAATAGACCGATCCACGCATTCGTTTGGCTCAATCAAACGTGTTAGCGAATTAACATCATTATCCAGTTATCTCACAAGACTAAAAAATAAATAATAATAGAAAAGTCATGTAAATCCACCTTAGAAGACCTGCATGCTTCTGACTTAAACGAAAGGCTTCAGCGCGTTTATTTGCCGTATCTTTTGAACTGCAGCTACCAAGCATAATGGAAGTGAATGAGGGTGGACAGGCTGTCAAATACAGCATTGCTGCTCTGCCGTACTAAAATGTGCGCATGCGTGCTTTGGGGGCGTCAGCTAGCCTGAACGTTAACGTCCTAGTCTCTCTGCCTGACACAAAATGCGCATCCAGTCGTGCATATTATATGCAGTTACATATACTGTATTGTTTCTCCCATGCATCATGCCACATTTTGATCATTGCAGTTGTTGGTCACCATGAGTTCCCTGTGGTTTGCTTGCTAACCTGCTGATGTGCTGCCATTCCTGTATTCAAATAACAGTCACTATATGTCAAAAAAATACTAAGAGGATGATAAGAGAAGCCCTTAACCAGTAGTTCTAAATAAGGAACTTTCTGAAACTTGATAAAACTGGTTTTGTTGTCAGACCTCTTCAGATGATTAGCTCAGCTAGCTATTGCATTAGTTTGCTCATGAATGATCACTAGTAACAATCACCATTTAACATCTAAATGGTCATTAGTCTGAAAATGCTTAGTAAGACATTTTGCATGACAGGTTATTTAATTAAAGGACGACAATTTGATTTATAGAATTATATAAACATTTTTATGTAAAATTTTAAGTTTTGCTAATTAAATATTCCTTAAACATTCTCACTCTCTTTTTCCATGGCGTTGGTATTGTCAGGATTCCTACAGCCACTGAAAACCTCATCAAATATGCTGATGAATTTGGTTGAATTCTAAAATGGATATGCGTTTTTCGTCTTGTGCTCTTCACTTCAAATATTTTATTGGCTAGATGTTTCGCTTAGTATTTTTGTAGAGTAAAAATGACTCTGTCACAAACTGTTGGTTTAGGGCCTGATTTGTTCACGTCAAAAGATAACTGTTTAAATTGATTAATATATGTTTCAGGTATGACTGTGTAGTTCAGGGGTGCCCAAACTCGGTCCTGGAGGGCCGATGTCCTGCAGAGTTTAGCTCCAACTTGCCTCAACACACCTGCCAGGAAGTTTATAGTATGCCTAGTAAGAGCTTGATTCGCTGGTTCAGGTGTGTCTAATTGGGGTTGGATCTAAACTCTGCAGGACATCGGCCCTCCAGGACCGAGTTTGGGCACCCCTAGTGTAGTTTATTATTGCAGAATGTGATCATCTTTTCTGCTAATGTTAAAGTCATGATGAAATTGAAGTAGTGGCAGATCTTTTCTTCCGTATTGTGATGTACATCCGAGTGTAGTGCATTATCAAGATAAACAGTTGAGGCAGATGAATACCAACCTTTGCCGCAGACTTTATTTTACTCATAAATCCAAAACCATTATTCTGGAGTCAGTCAGCTTAAGCAGTGATCATTTTGCTGTCATCACTAGCTTTGCTGCTTTGGTTTTCTTTCTGGTTTAAAGGGGTCATAGGATGCCCATTTTCCACAAGTTGATATGATTCTTTAGGGTCTTAATGAAAAGTCTGTAACATAGTTTGGTTAAAATTTCTCAATGGTAGTGTAAAAAACACCTTTTTA